AGAGAGAGAGAGAGAGAGCGAGCATCAGAACTTATGACGATCTTCGGCAAATAATGGACCTTCGTGTTTGTCGCTATGCCCTCTGTTAACCTGTGCTGCTCCTAGAACAGGGTCCGAAGAAAGAGCCGAAGGGCCCACTCCAGAAGGCCGACTCCTACGTGCCAAGCGGCTGCAAAACCGACACCACGCCGACCACGAGCAGTGCCTGTTGAATGTCGGTGGAACAATCGTGTCAATGGAACGGAACTGTGATTCTCCTGCAACTACAAGTTCTCTCGACTGTTCCGACGATGAACCTGCCTTGGAGAGCAGCGAGGTGCGAGCCATTCTTGCTCTTCGGCTGGACGGAGGGCGCGAACAAGCAGATCCAGCTGGAAGCTGCAGCAGCTGCTGCACACGGACAGCCGTCTTCCCCGGACAGAACATCTCATCATCGTACAAAATCAAACAGCAGTCGTCAGGAGGACCCTGACAGGTCTGACCTTCCCGAGAAGTCCAATCGAACTGAAATCCTACAGGGGCATGCTATCATCATCTGCGGTGGTTACTCTTAGTATCCGCAATGACTCTCACTCATCACATAGCTTGCTTGCTTCGAACCTCAAACCTTCAAGCTTCAATCCCAAACTGTACACAGAACCAAGTCTCCTCAGCGATGTACCGATGGGTGCTGCCAATGCCTCTTCCAGACTCGCAGTGGCTAGTGCTCAGAGAATCGCGAGTAAACTCCAGGCAGGCAAAACGTCAACACGACCTGCTGCAGCACCAGGGCATCAGCCCAGTCGACATCCCCACACACACACACACGCACGAAATTAGTAGTTCAGGTCACTAAAGCTATTCAGCGAAGAAACGAGGGGCGCACTGACACACATCCTGCTGTAAGTTCCAAAAGCCGGACTAAACCCTAGTTTCATGAAGCCAACAGTCTGAAATGCATGCCTCTTTCAGCCTCGCTATGTCGAACTTGGTCTGTCCTGCATCTGTCAGGAGTTGTGTATTTCGAGTTAGTGCTACTACGTCGGTCAGAGTGCATGGAGCGCATCGGGTCCACTGCATCGAGAAGTTGCAGGTTCAAAAGTGGCGACTAGTGCGCCCACCCTGCAACTGACCGGACGTCCTTCGAAGGCTTCCCGCAGCCCCTGGCGAAAAAGCCATCTTGGCACAGCCGAAGTCTCAACCCTAAGCGCATATGCCTGAAGCGACACCTGCAGTGACACATTCCGTGCGTGGGAGTGTCACATACAAGCTTCGCAGGCAAGACTGCGCGACGGAGGGATAAAGTCTAAAGATTAGCATGATTAACGCCAGCAGCGATGACGCGCTTGAGTCAGCTTGAGCTCCCCAACATCGGGGCGCAAGAATCCAATTATAACCCGTGCATATTAACCTGCAAGCTCGGGGTTGGACATGGGGCCATGTTCACGGCCCAGCACCGTTCAGAATGGAATTCAATCATCTAAAGCCAGTGTATGTGAATGTGTTGTCGTGCTGCAGACCTGCCTCGATGATGAGCTCCCCGTGCTGTTTCCAAGCAATCGCAGGCGTGCCTGTCATCAAGCGTATCCGTGCTTCTGTGGGGTCGTACACGCGCACACGACACTTGGGACCAATGAGAGCTGTCGACCCCACCTACTGCCAACACAATTCCCGGTCTTCAGGGTTCTGAGCAACTTTGGGTCAACCTAGTACGAGGCCTGCAGCAAAGGTGTCACGCGCTAGATTTCATGCCAGCGTCCTTGTACTGGAATGCCCGTCATTTCCGCCAGAGCCGCAGCAACTCTTGCCTGCTTTGAACATGTCGTCCCAGCAGCTCTACATAGAGTATCTAGACTTCAAACACAACTACTACATAGCCCTGCGTGGCCTTTACACCGGTGACCTTTCCCCGGAGGCACAGCGGCATACAGATTCGTCTAAACATGAAACTCGCAAGCATGTGAAGGAGCCTGCGGTGGATAGTTCACTCCACTGATGACAGGCAGAGTTCTCAGCCTTGGGGCGCTGACCGGGCGGGTGGCCGCCCGAGAGTTTGTGGTGCTTAGGGCCATCAGCCTTTGGGACTCATGGGGGTCCCCGGGAAATCCTTCGTGTGTTTCAAAACTCGGACTCAGCATATACAAGAGCTGGGTTACCCACACACTCCAGACGCACCCAGTGCTGGCCCGCTGCTAAAGCAGCGGGGGATTCAGCCCGAAGTCGCCAAGCCTAAGCCTGAATCTTTTGTGGAATGTCCGGACTCAGCTTGTGCTGGTTGAGCTGAAAGGCATTTCGGCTCGGCAGCGCCTCTCCAGGAACTATCTGGTTGGGGAATGTTGGGTATAGCCTGATCAGCTAAACTTTGCACCGGTACAGCTGTAGCTTCAACTTCTACACGATCCACACAGTACTGCCATAGCCACATGGGCCAAACAAGTGATTGTTGTATTCCCGAGTTCTCCCTAGCATTCGGAGATGCCTGGCAAACCTGTCAGTCAGAAGCCCGAAGCACCCTCCGAACATTAAACATTGTGCGTTTCGTCCTTCACAGCCCACACCCTCTTTCGAGCCTCACGGCACGATCGTAGAGGCCCAACTCGTAAGCCCACCTGGCAGGCCCCAGGGTGTGGCAACTCTTACTGCGAAGACCATGAGGTTTGAAAACAGAGTTGTGACAGGCTTCATGCCAAGGTTTGGTCATTTTCTTAGTTGGTCGGTGAAGAACCAATGAGTTCAGTAGTGATCTGCATGTCGTCACATGTCTTGGAGTCCCCCGAGGTACTTGTATCTCGTACTCCGTCAATGTCCGCATGCGTGAAACGGAGATAGATACTCTTGCAGCGACGAGGTGCCAGGACCAGAGCGGGTCGGGGATCTCCTTCTTGAGCTCCTGTTTCACGTGCTACGAATACCAGGGACTTGGGAAACGCTTCCTGCAAACGGCTTTCCTCCAAAGCGACCAGGTCGTCCACATTGCAGGCGATGTACATGGCCTGAAGCCGCATCTCGAAGGCTGGTCACATCCGGTGAACGTGCTGGCTCAGTCGTTCCAAGTTTCGGGATTGGGGGTTGGTGACTGCATGAACCAGTCGGGCAGACTGTTTGCAACAGAAGGTGTAGCACCCAGACAGACGCTTTGGAATAGATGAAAGGAGCATTCTCGGTTTTTGTTTGACGGGATGCGTCGGCATGGTGCGTGGACGCAGCCAGACATTCGCGTCACAACACACCAACAGAAAGGAATCAGGCCTTGATCATGCTTGTGTAGAGAGACACTCAGGGACACGAGATCGGCACAAGACTGCCGCTCATCAGCAAATGACACTTATGTCATGCGGTCATCCAGTCCACGTTAATCTCGATTCCTACCCTGCAGCAGGATGTCGGCTGCCTCCTGCAGTCTGTGCAGCCTGCAAGGCAGCACGTTTCAGGAATACAGAACATGACATGATCAGAGACCGGCTGATGTAGGAAGCTCCCTATACTGTTGCTTCAACACTCGAACAGACGCCTCCTTCCAGCATGCGCAGGCCTGATTTCGTAACGCCTGGCTGCAACAAGGAAGAGCTTCCGCCATCGCGGCATGCAGGCGATCCTGTGAGGCAGGGAAGCTGCACTGGAGGAGCCGTTGAACTCCTATTCCTATGCTGCTTGCAAAGCGCAATGGCAAACGACCATCCCTCACTCTGCAAGCCTTCGCTTCGAGACTTGGAAGAGTCTCTCAACAGTGTCCGTCGCATCGATTCTTCTCTGCTCCTGCCGGATCATGTTGCCAAGGATTCTGGGTTCTGTAGAAATCCTTTGCTCGTCCTATAGATTGTGTTGCGCTGCATGAGCATGGCACGAGAGGTTCTTCTCACAGCGAGCCACCTTCACCAAAGACTATTGCGTTTGCAACACAACAATTGAAGTGACAAGAAAAAAGGATTCAGAACTACGAACATAAGCTCTGCATGACACCATACACTTTAAACCAAACCAAACTCATTCTGAATGATCTTGCAGCAGAGGCCAGGCAGTCCTCGGGACTAATTCTCTTGGGTACCTTCGGCAGCCAATAGTCATCCTGAGCTGCACATCTGGCAGAGGACGAAACCACGAGAGCATATGTATTGGTCTTTGTTACGTTTGCTATGCACAATCCACCACAACCCACACAACTTCCTTGCAAGTAGCAACATTGCGCAGCATCCCGAT